AACTTTGAGTGGCCTCAACCGTCATTTTGTCTCTTTTTCTTTCTTTGATGTTTTTTTGGGATGGAACCCAGGGCCTCACGCATGCCAGGCAGGAGCTCCATCCCTGAGCTGCATCCTGGCCCTCGAAGGCCATTTGCAATGTTCACATTTGCTGCTCAGGGCTGAGGACGGCTCAGGCTGGACGGGTCCTCAGGGTCTCCCCGGGAGGCTGGAGTGGCCCCAGCAGCAGCTGTTTGAGATTCGGGTTTTACCTTCCACTAGGGCTGCCTAGAGGGGTCTGCTGAGTGGGCCTGCACAGTGTCGCAGGCCGCGTGGCCTGCCGTGGTCTGTGAGACACTCAGCCCCATGCCGTTCCAACACCTTCCATCTTGTCTGTGAATTCACCTTGCCCAGCAGTCACCCCTGCAGGGGCCCATCGTCACCCCTGCAGGGGCCCATCGTCACCTGACTGTTTCCGGGTGGGGCGATAGGTGGGCCAGTGCCGTGAGCACTGCAGTGCCTGGAGGACCACTGCAGTGGGGGTCTTGCTGCAGCGGGGTGTCCCCCAGCCGGCGTGAGCAGAGGAGCTGCAGAGCGGGCTGCTGGAGCAGGTGGAGGCAGCCGGAGTGGAAAAGGCTGGTGACTTGATGTTAGCACAGTGCCGGCAGGCCCCGGGTCTCCGCTGTGACAGCCACCGGCTGACTGCACCGTCCCCCTGGTGGGCACCGGAGGACTCAGGGACTCCCTTGTCTAGTCAGTGACCAAAATACCTGATGCAAACAACTTAGCAGAGGGCGCATGGTTTCAGAGACCCAGACCACGGTGGGCTGACTCCATTGATCTGGGCCTAGGTGACCCGGAGCATCATGGAGGAGGAAAGCTTTCCGGTTCATGGTGGGAAGCAGAGTGAGCCAGGGGAAGGGGCTGCAGGGAAGAGGCACAGGGTACACCCCAGTGGCCCCCTCCAGCCACACCCTACCTGTCCACAGTCCCACCCACTCAGTCATTCAGACTCTCACCGACCAGTCACCTCATCTCCTGCATTGGCAGGACTCTGGGGGATACCTGACCTCCAAACTGTAACCGGTGCTGGGCCCTGGGTGACAAGGTTTCCTCTCACGGACATTCCCCTGTTCACTGGTGTGTGTGACCCGCCCCCACATGAGGATGAGTTGTGAGTGTAAGATACAGGCTGGGCAGTGGGAGCAGCTCATCTGCTAGATGGTGGTCACCAGCCCCCCTGGGCAGCCAGCGTCTTCCCAACTGTTGTGAATCACGCAATCAAAATAGTGGTCATGGCCAGGAGTGCTATGAAAGAACAAAGTAGGATCAGTGGATTAGTGTCCCACTCAGTGAGGCTTGGCACTGTGTTGGAGGGGACTTTGTTGCTGCTGTGTGTGTGTGTGTGTGTGTGTGTGCGCGCGCGCGCGCGCGCGTGCGCGCGTGCACCTGTGTTCCAGGGTGTGATGTGCAGTGTATTGTTCCGAGTTTGTGTCTGGAAGGTTGAGCAGCCCCTCCCCACCCTGGTTAGAGGCCTCCCCTGCCCCTCTGTTTAGAGTAGAACCCCAAAGCACAGCTTGCTTTTCTTTGCGGCAGGCATTGTGATCTGGACTCCTGCTGTTGGTGGGCCTGCTTCTCTATGGTGGATGTGGACCCACAGAGCAGGCTGGGCTCCCCTGGGTGGGCGGGAGCTCTGCCAGTGCTCTCCACTGAGGGCCTGAGGGGGCCGGCCCAGGGAGCACACTGCCCAGGAAGGCAAACTAGTGATGGCCACATGGGCAGGCGGGGGAGGGCGGGTGGGCACAGCCTGAGCAGCTGTAAAGTCCTCAGTATCTTTGTGTTTCCAAGGACTTACGGAGCCTCACAACAACTTACAGAGCCCTGCTCTCCTGAATACTGGGCATTTGGGGACACTCCCTCCAAGTGGGCAGCTTTGTTGGGTGGGATGGGAAGGCAAGAGGGTCAACAAAGCAGTGTTGCCTGGGTTGAAACAAGCCCACCCTGTCTCAGGTGTGAAGGCCACGGGCCACACCAGCTGGGGGACAAACAGGCTCTACCCTACTCAGCTATGAAGAAAGACTTCCACTTGCAGCTGCCAATCACCAGGAGCACTGACTGGGGTCAGCGGTCCTGGACTTGCAGGCCAGCAGGTGCAGCTGCCTTTGATGATATCACAACACTTGGGCCTGCTCCTTGGTCTATGGGACACTGTGTCTCCTCACCTGCAAGTGTGTGGTCAGACGTGTGGAGCCCCTGCTCCCAAGGGTCAGGTGGGAGCCCCTTTACTGAAGAGCTTTTCTCTGTCCAGCAGTAGAGTTTTGGGGAGCCTCAGCAGGGATGGAGGGGTGGAACTGGCCCACCAAAAGGTTTTTTTTTTTTTATGGTTTGGATACATGGTGTTCCGCCGAAGCTCAGTGTAAGAAGGTTCAGGGGAGAAATCATTGGGTTATAGCCTTAAACTAATCAATGGGTTAATCCCTAATGGGATTAGCTGGTAACTAGAGGTGTGGCTGGAGGAAATGGCTCACGGGTGGGGGGGGGGGGGGGGGGGGGGGGGGGGGGGGGGGGGCTGTGAGGACGTACTTGGTTTCTGGAGCTGGAGTCTCTCTCTGTTTTCTGGTCACCATGTGAGTGCTTCCCTCTGCTGCACTCTTCTGCCATGATGTCCTTACTGACCTCATGAATGGAGCTGGCCTTCTGTGAACTAGGACCTCTGCGACTTGAGCCCTCAATAACCTTTTTCTCCTTTACAGTTGTTCTGGTCGGGTCTTTAAGTCACAGAGGGGAAAAGCTGACGTCAGCAGTCTTGGGGAGGTTGGCACTGGGGCCGTGGTTTCTCTGTGCTCTATGCCCAGGGCAGGGCCCCACACTGCCCTGCGAGGGCGCTGCCCGGCCCCTGGTCTCATGGCCCCACACTGCCCTGCGAGGGCGCTGCCCGGCCCCTAGGCTCATGGCCCCACACTGACCTATGAGGGCGCTGCCCGGCCCCTGGGCTTATGGCCTGCACTGCCCTGCATGGGCACTGCCCGGCCCCTGGTCTCATGGCCTGCACTGCCCTGCGAGGGCGCTGCCCGGCCCCTGGTCTCATGGCCTGCACTGCCCTGCATGGGCGCTGCCTGGCCCCTGGGCGCATGGCCCCACACTGCCCTGTGAGGGCGCTGCCCGGCCCCTGGTCTCATGGCCTGCACTGCCCTGCGAGGGCGCTGCCCGGCCCCTGGGCTGGGTCTCTTCTCATTAAAACTTGGATGTGGACGTGCTTCCTCAGCAGGGCAGCCTGTGGGTGTCTGTAGGGTGAGATGGGGCCCCGGGCAGGTTCTGCTGTGCTGGGTGGGCTCTTGTTGTCTTGCCTGGGTCTCTCTGCAGAGTGTCTTTGCCTCCTCTTGTTTGCCTCAGGCCCCACCACCCCCGGGTCTCCCTGACCCCCCTTAACTGCCTGCCAGGCCCTCTAGACACAGAGGGAACCCCAGCCGAGGGGTGGTTGGGAGCAAAAGCTGATGACTTTTTACCCCAGCGTCTGACCCCAGGAGGCTCCGGGACAGAATGCAGCCCCTCGGGCCGAAGCAGGAGATGGTACAGCGGTGGCCTTGGCTTCAGCCCTGGGCACTATTTGGAACAGCAGTCAGCTCCACCCCCACTTGAGGCCCTCTGCCCACCTGAGCACACACACACCCAACCCACGGCACGCCTTCCAGAGCACCAGAGTGTGCTCACACTTGTGCACAGTAGTCACAAGCAGCCGTGTGCATATGCCCATGTGCACACACACGCTCGCGCACATGGACACGCTCCTGCAGCCACACACAGTGGCCCCAAGTTCCTTGCAGGACAGTTGGGCTGCAGGAACACCAGGGAGGCCTGCTTGCTTGCTGGGTGCATGTGGACTGAGAGGCCCAGACTGCTGGACGGTCACACCAGGCCCTGCCATCCCTCCTTCCCTCACCCACCATCGTGAGGGGCGCTGATGGGCCTGGGGCCAGAAGAAAGTGGTGGTTCTGGTGACCAGGGTTAGTGCCCTGAGGGGGTGCCAGGCATGGTGGCCTTGCCACTGACACTTTTTTTGCCCTGCAGCAAAGGAATAGGCTGTCTGGGGCACAGCCACAAGGGGTGGGGGCAGGTGAGGGGCAGGTCGTGCTGGGAGGGGCTGAAAGGCAAGGGGTGCAAGAAGTTGCCTTGTGTGTGGTGAACAGATGGCCCACCACGTGCTAGTTCTTAGAACAGGGTGCGTCCAGTGTGGCTTTGTGCTGCATTTGTGTGTGCACATGAGAGCGTCGGTAACACCCCAGCAACGTGAACCTGTGTGTGGCTGGGTGCGTGCCCCTGCATCTCCTGTGCAGAAGGCCTCCATCCCTGTCCATCCCAGGGAAGCAGCCCTTGGTGTCGTGAGAGCTGCACATGCAAGGCCCGGGCAGGGGAGCTTCTCTTGGTGTCGAGGGAAGGGGTGCTGTTGCTAGACCAGAGCCCTGTGAGTGTGGTGGGTGGCGCCACTGAGCTGAGCTCTCCTGCCAGGAAGCACTGGGGTTCCTGGCCTTGTGGAAATGGTGCTGAGAGGGCCGAGGGGCTCCTGGGAGAGCAGGGAGTGGCACAGGCAGCGCTGTAGCTGCATCTTTGGAGTAAGATCCGTTGCTTACTCTGGCTACTTCCCTCAGTGGCCATCTTTATCATTTGTTTGGACTTGTGAATGTCTTTTCTGGGAGCCATTTCATCTTCCCTTCCCTTCCCAGAACCCCTCGGCCACGGCTCTGATGAGAACCTAGGGTCTGGGGCAGAGCCTGGACCCCACAGCCTCGGGCTGCCCTCTAAGTGGGCCCCCCCAGGCAGAGCCCCTAAGCCCCAGTGGTCTGCTCCCCAGCTCTAGTTGTTGCTAGAGATCCTTGTGCAGAAATCTGATGTGAAAGCTAGCTACTGCTCAGTGCAGAAGGCTCTGGCCTGGGACCTCCGCCCTGGGAAGAGACCACCAGCTACTGTGTCCTCTCCAGTGATTAGCTGTCCACTCACTTTCCTGGTGTCTCTCTCCCCTGCAGCGGTCAGACCCACAGCTGCTGGCCCAGTTCTACTATGCTGACGAGGAGCTGAACCAGGTGGCCGCGGAGCTGGACAGCCTGGATGGGCGGAAGGACCCCCAGCGGTGTACACTACTGGTCAGCCAGTTCCGCTCCTGCCAGGTGAGCAGCCAGGGGTGGTGAGGGATGGCGCAGGCTGTCCTTGTAAAGACAGGCTTTGTCATCTGCCTACATTCTGCAGGGATGTTCTTTCTTGGTTGACCCTGGGGCTGTGGGGAATCAGAGCCAGGAGGAGGGTGTTCTTGGGCAGGAGAGTGTTCAGTAGGGGGCAAACTGCACTGGACCCCTGGGGAGAGCGGAGGGTGAGGGAGGTGGGGAGGAGGGAGTGGCTGGCCTGGGCGTGAGCCTGCTCCTGGTGATGCAGGCATGCAGGGTCAGGGGCAACGCAGCTGCTTGCTGCTGGCTGCTTGCTGCTGACTCATGGCTGTGAGCTGCTGCTGCATAATTCAGATGGCACTGGAGGCTGCTGCTAAAAATACCTTAGCCAACCAAGTTTTCTGCCCCGAGTACTAGACACCCAGTGACCACCAGGATCTTGACGAAGCTTGGGAACTCTGTGTCTTCTGCCACAAGGTCTTGCTGGGCCCTAGATCCTGGGAGGTGGGGATGGTGTGTGCCCTCCAACAGGGACAGACTGTTGCTGTGTGACTGTGGCCCCTGCAAAGTGGCCAGCGTGGCCACACCCCAGGCTGGCTCTGGGTCTTCAGGGGACCTGCACCGATGATTGAAGGGTCATTCCTTCTCCCTGTTCTTCGTCCACTTGGCCTGCTCCAGTGTGAGGGCTTTTCTGGATAGCTCAGGCTCCGAGTGCTTTTTTCTTTTTGGTTTCTGAGGTTTTGAACTGGTCAGCAACAGCCTCCATTCACCATGACTGTTCAGATGTTCCGATGGACATCCTTAGTTCCTCTGGGCTGACCTCCCTGCTCCCAGGAGTTAGAAACAGGGCAGAAGGTACCAGGGAGCCGCCTACAGAGGGAGGCTCCACAGAGGAGAGATGCTTAGAGAGGCTGATGCCCTGCGGCCCGCCTGGGAGGAAGTGGGACGATTGTGGTGGCCTTTGGGAATGGCTGTTGTTCCCTTTACATGCCTCACTCTGAGCTGGGTGCCTTTTTTTTTTTTTAATGTTTTTTAGTTGTTGATGGACCTATATTTTATTTATTTATTTATTTATTTATATGCAGTGCTGGGGATCAAACCCAGTGCCTCACACATGCTGGGCAAGTGCTCTACTACTGGGTCTTCTGTTGAGCGGTCGGTGGTGCTGATGGCACAGTGTTGTTCTAAGTGAGTCTGAGAGGTGGCCCAGGGGAGGGTGGCCCCATCTGAGCTATGCACCAAGGTGGGGTGAGGACCAGAAGGGAAGACTCAAGGCCAAACCCTGACATGAGCACATGCATTCTGCTCTTGTCTCTGGCATCAGTGTAAGAATACTGAGGACGAGGAGGTCGCCAGACCCTCAGCACTGTCCCCTTCAAGGGTCACTTCCTCCTTCATGTTCTTCCTCTACTTGGCTCTAGGACTCTGCATCCCTGGCTGTCCTCCTACCCACTGGTCACTTCTCCTTCAGCTCTTCTGTGACCTGCCCTGCTCCCCAGCCACTTAGGCGGGTTGTAGCACAGGCCTTCTCCTGTCCTGTGTGGCCGTGATGTCTATGCTGACCACCCCTGCACGTCCCTCTCAGTCTCCTCCTGCCCAGATCCAGGTGTGCAGCCAGGATGCCTCCCTGCTTCCCTGGACGTCTCACAGGCTCAGCCCCAGCATACCCCGGAGCCCCTGCTGCCCAGCTGTCCACACCTCTGAGCTGCTCTTGGTTTTCGAGGTCTACACCCCACGGCTCTTGCCAGTTAACCTGGTGCTTCCGTCTTTCCACAGTGTTCCAAGTGTATTCAGGTTTTGATTGACAGGTGCTAATAGAAATACATGGTACATTGATCTTATGAATGGAAACCTTTCTCTGGGATACAGGTCAAACCAAACTGCTTTTCCTATTCTCCTTTCTCACACAGCCACACGACACTTCCGACACCTGATGTGTGGGCTTTCCCACACCTGAGCGATTCTCTGGAGGGTCTGCAGCAGAGGCTGGCTGGGCACCTGCCAGCTCAGTTCCCTCCCGACAGGGCCTGGAGAGGGCATGAGGTCCGCAGGTCCCAGGCTTGCGGAGGGCAGAGTGGCACTGCCTTCACATCATATTGATGAAGGATGCAGGGCGAGGTCTGGGAGGGTCCTAGGCACAGGAGCATTCCCCGATGGAGCCGGGTGCCGCCCTCCTGGCATGCAAGGCAGCTCAGCAGCCTGGAGGCTCCCTGAACCCAGTCCCTTCTTTACCAGGGTGACACTGATTGCACCACTGGCCACGGGAGCAATTCTGCCTTCAGCCCCCTCCCTGCCTGGAGGTCAGGGTGAGGCTGAGCGTCTGGCCTCTGATCCATCTTGGTCTCTCTAGTAACCAAGCCAGTCCTGACGCTCCCTAGGGATGTCCAGCCAGCAGTCATCTCATTAGCATATGACACTTAACCATTCCAAAGTCCTGGGGTTTTAGGAACTATGTCAGGAGACTGGAAAACTGCACATATGTACATATACTTATCTATATATGTGTATGCACACGTGATACACACACAAGTGTGTGTGTGTCTATTTTATTTATTTATCAAGACGGGGTATCCCTGCTGCCCAAGCTGGCCTCAGCTCTGTGGCTCAGATGGTGCTCCTGCCTCAGCCTCCAGTGGGGACTATACATGCATGCCACTGTGACTGTGTTTCATGATACCCCTTTTTAAGTTTACTTGTTAGTTCTGGCAGGATTTTTTTTCCCTTTCGTGTAGATGATTGTGTTTGTGTGCTTCTTCTTCCTGACTGAGGCCCTGCTTTGTGGTGCATGCTCGGCCCTGCCCTTTGCCCGGCTGGCAGTCCGGGCACTGCCGTGGAGGAGGTGGCGCAGACCCCTCCTCAGTCACCTCGGGGAGCATGCCTGTGGAACCTGCAGGTGGCCAGCGGGTTTTCCAGTCCCCTTCTCAGGCCTGCGGTCTTCTCTGTTCATGGCCCTGGTGGGAGTTCTATCAGGGGGGATGCCGAATCTTCTCCAAATGCTTTCTCTGCCTATTGAGATTATCATGCGTCTGTTTTAATGTAGTAAATTGCCTTGATTTTCTTTCTTTCTTTTTTTTTTTTACTTAATAAATATGGACTTTTTGCGTTATTATCCATTCCTTACCCAACAGTGGGGTGCAGGACGTGAGGACAGGGCCGTGTCTGCGACGCCCACTGATCTGTCCCAGTACGACACTCAGGAATATCCATGCAAAAGGAGCAGTTGGATGACTGTCTTAAAGTTTAATTTGTTTTTATTTATTTATTTATTTTTAATATTTATTTTATAGCTGTAGTTGGACACAACACCTTTATTTCACTTATTTATTTTTATATGGCTCTGAGGATCGAACCCAGGGGTCCGCACATGCGAGGCGAGCCCTCTACCGTTGAGCCACAACTCCAGCCCTAATTTGTTTTTAAAATGTGCCTTATTTTGTTTATTCTTTCTTGTACACGACAATCATGGCAGAAACATTGGTGAGCCGTGCCGAGCTGCCAGAGTCTGGATACCGTGCCTCTGTGCACATCCAGGCTTCTCCCCATGGCTTTTTCTTTTCTTTCTTTCTTTTTTTTTTTTTTTTTTTGTGGTGCTGAGGATTGAACCCAGGGCCTTGTGCATGCAAGGCAAGCACTCTACCACCTGAGCTACAGCCCCAGCCCTCACCATGGCTATTTCTAGAGTGAAAATTTTCTAGCACTTTAAGAAATTTTGGCGTTGTCCAGGCCAGTTCTCTTATTTCCCAAATTAGAATACTAAACCCAGTCAGGGGAGGTGACTGAGCCACAGTCACATGCAGTAAACAGAAAGCAAGTGTGGTCACTTGCTGGTGGTCTGAGTCTTGGTGGATCGGAGCACAAGAGGAGACTCTCATTCCTCAGGGGAAAGGAAACAAGGGGATCACCTGAGCCTCACAAAGGTGCCAAAGAGAAAAGCATGTGGCCTTGGTCTTGGTGAAAATAGATTTTTAAAAACACAGAAGGGGGCTGGGTGTGGTGGCGTACCTGTGATCCAGTGGCTTGGGAGGCTGAGGCAGGAGAACACAGTACGCTCGAGGCCAGCCTCAGCAACTTCATGAGGGCAGGGATGTAGCTCAGTGGTGAAGTGTCCTGGGTTCAATTCCCGTGCTGCAAAAAATAAATGAATGATGGATAATTATTAAATAAGAAAGATAAAATACAGAAGGGCTGGGGATGTAACTCAGTGGTAGACCTTTTGCCTAGTATGTTCAAAGCTCTGGATTTGATAAAAAAAAAAAAAAAAGAAAGGGAAAAAAGCAGAAATAAAATCAAAAGAGAAGAGGTCAGAATCTACTAAGAAAGTGCAGCATTTGGGCTGGGGATGTGGCTCAAGCGGTAGCACGCTCACCTGGCATGCGTGTGGCCCAGGTTCGATCCTCAGCACCACATACAAACAAAAGATGTTGTGTCTGCCAAAAACTAAAAAAAATTAAATTAAAAAAAAATTCTCTCTCTCTCTCTCTCTTTGGAAAAAAAAAAGAAAGTGCAGCATTCAGATCACATCATGGTTCTCTATCCTCACGGGAACATCTGGCTCACTCTGAGAGCTGAAAATGCTCTAGTCACCTGGGCCCCATCCCGGATGTCCTTCCTTCCTTGGTCCAGGAGGAACCCAGGAATCCGCTGGTTGATTTTCAATATTAAAAGAAATGACTGGGCTGGGGCTGGGGCTGGGCTCAGTGGCAGAGCGCTTACCTCGCACGTGTGAGGCAATGGGTTCGATCCTCAGCACCACTTATAAATAAATAAAAAATAAAGGTCCATCAACAACTAAAAAATAAAGAAATTACTGGGATAAATCCACTTGTTCATGATACATTATCCTTTCCATGTATTAACTTCAATTTCCTAATATTTTTTTAAAAAGATTTCTTTTTTCCATTTCTGCAGCCTGGGGACCTTGTGGGTACAGGCGGGCTGCCTCTGAGCTGAGCCTGCCCCGTCCACTGTTTCTCTGGACTCGTGAGAGACGTGCTGCACAGCCTGCG